GACTTACACTTCCACATCACAGTTTATCATTAAAGGAAGTTGGGAACTCAAGCAGGGCAAGAACCTGGAGTGAGGAGCTGAGGGAGAGGCCATGGAAGAATGCTACTTACTGGCTTGCTCCTCATGGCTTGCTCAGTCTGCTTTCTTATAAAATTTAGTATCCCCAGCCCAGGGATGGTACCACCCACAATGGGCTGGGCCCTCTCTCATATATCACTAAGAAAATGCCCTACAGGTCTGCCTACAGTTAGATCTTAGGGAGGCATTTTCTCAATGAGACCGTCTCTGATGACTCTAGCTTGTGTCAAGCTGACCTAAAACTAACCAGTACAACTGACCCCTTGGCAACTTGACACTCCAACACATGGTTTTCCAGTCAGAGCCTCCCCTTTCTCACTTATCTCCAAGATGGCATGTTAATATTAATATCACAATATAAAACACAAATAATTGTAAAAGTCCCACAGTCCTTACAAATTCAAACATACTAAAACCCCAGCCTCTTTAAAAATATCTAATCTCTTTAAACATTATAAAATCTATTTTCAAAGTTCAAAGTCTTTCAGCTGCAAGCTCCTATAAAAATCAAAATTAAATTCAATGCCTTCTAACTTCAAGAACCAGGGTATGGTAACAATCTGAACAAAGCAGAACCAAATTCCTACAGTGTAAATAACTCAATGTCTAGTGTCTGGGATTCGCTCATGATTGTCTGTGCTCCTCAGAGGGCTTGGGCCACTCTTCTGGTTCCCCTCTCTGAAGCACACACAGCTTGCCTTCTAAGGTGTGGCAGGCTCCACTCCACGCTGCTGCTGTTCTTGGTGGTCCCCCCATGGTGCTGGCATCTCCCAAATGCTGAGGTCTTCTGCTGCAATGGGGCTGCACTTTCCCCAATGCCTTTCCTAGGCTCTCTTCATGGTGCCAGGCCTCAGCTGCTATGCATGATTCTCTCAATCCCAGGCCTTCAACTGCTGCTGAGGCTGCACCTTCACCGATGGCCTCTCACAGTACAGGCTCAGCTGCTCTCCATGACCTTCGTGGCCCTCAAGACCATACCCCATGGGGGACTCTTAAATTATCAAGTTCAGCGGCCAGCACAAGGTACAATCTAGGCTGTGTCTGGAGCACAGCTTCCGTGTGCTGACTCTCAGGAAACACTTTCCAGGAGAGTTCACCTCGACGATGTTGGTCTCCTCTTAATCACTTCTAATGTCTCAGTTCCAGCCGACCGGCATCGAGTGTCTCAGCAAAGCCAAGGTTTCACTGCAGTGGTTGTGGTATCTTGTGACTCACACCTGATTCTTCAGCCCCGGCAAACCAGAACCACAGACTCTTAATTCAAAATAACAAATGGCCCCAATAGTGTCTTTAAATGTCCCTCCCTCTTCCGCATTGCCCTCAACATTCTCATCTTCCAAGCGCACCAAACACTGATCATTTGATGGCATTTATAGCCTGAAGTTTTAAAGTCCTTCAACAGTCTCCCTACAAACAGCACGGCCAGGTCTGTCACAGCAACACCTCACTCTTCTGGTTCCATCTTATCTTAGTTGGGGTTTCTATTGCTGTGTTGAAACACCAGGATCAAATAAACTTGGGAAGGAAAGGGCTTATTTAACTTGTGCTTCTGAATCACATCACACCACCAAAGGAAGTCAGAACAGGAGTTCAAATAGGACAAGAACCTGGATTGGGGAGCTGATGCAGAGGCCACGGAGGGGTGCTACTTACTGGTTTGCTCCTCATGGCATGCTCAGCCTGCTTTCTTATAGAACTCAGAACCATCAGATCAGGGTTGGCACCACCCATAATGGGCTGGCTCTTCATCAATCACAAATTAAGAAATTGTCCCTCAGGCTTGCCTACAGTTGGAACTTAGGAAGGCATTTTCTCAACCTGAAAGTCCCTTCTCTCTGATGATGCTAGCTTGTGTAAAGTTGACATAAAAGTAGCCAGTGTATATACATGCAGGCCACATACAACACACACACTTAAATAAAAAATTAACATAGCTTTATTGAACATGCTTAACATTTCTACAATCATAACTTTTATGTGTGCATGTGTGTGACTTGAATTTTTACAGTGAGCGTTTATTCACATATTGCTTATATTATTCATATACTGCTTTATTAAAAATAAAGTTAATGATATTAAGAGCAGAAGCGGAGAATACATTAAGTGTATTAGCCTAAACTGTAAGCCTTGTAGGGAAAGATAATAACATTCATTCAGTCATTCAGCAAATTTTACTATTTATTGTGTACCAGAAACTGTGGCAGTACTCACCCTGACTGTCCATTAGTGACCACCACAGGCATGATCTGTGCCATATTACTTGCAATGATTAAACATCTGCGGATGCTGATGTTTGTAAGTGAATAGTCCCTATTGCCCATAGTATTGAGAAATTTGGGCAATGAGAGAGCTAGCCTAGTAAAGTAAGGCTTCCCTGATGGACTAATTTATTAACTGAATCCTGTTTCCCTTTCTTATTACCTCATGGAAATGGAGAGACAGAAGGGGATTGTCCAGATCAGGGATTGCTTTCCTGGTTCTTCCTCTCACCTCTTCTTTAGCTACTCGAAAGGAAATAGGTTGCTACAATCTTTCAGTGGAAGCCTATGATAGGATGCAGCTTACTAGAAACATATAAAGATTCTGCAAGAATCTTCTAGTGCCTTGTGTGTTCTAACCACACAATCTACCACTGGGCTGCATCTCTAGCCCCAGTGTTGTGGATCTTACAGTAGCTGACAAAACTGGTTATGGGAAGACCCAGAAGTAAGGCTCTCAATGGGTCAACAGAGACTATGGACTTCAGGCCTAACTCAGTGGTAGAACATTTCCCTAGCAAGCTTGAGGCCCTGGGTTTAATCCTTAGGACAACAATATAGGGTCAACATTTAAGCCAGAACCAAACAAAAGCAAGACCCGTTGGTACAAGGGTGCCAATGTCAATCAATCCCTCATCCTTTGATAAAGACGACTGATACCCCTATGTATATCCCACTGCAGAGCCATCTGCACTCTAGGCAAGTATTCTAACCCTGAGATACACCCCAAGCTTTGTTTCCCATTCTGAAGCAGAAAACATAAAAATGTGAGAATATCCTCCATCATCTGTCCATCTGCTCGGATGCATTCCTTGGGGAAAAAAGTTGGAATTTGTTCTACAAAAGCTACCCATGGGCAAGTTCCTGTCTTCCTAAGCTTTGTAGTTTTCTTCTTTTGTATAACCTGATTTGTTCATTTTCCTCTCAAAATTTCTAATTCATAGGCATTTTGGTGATGTAACTTACCAATCTCTTTTATTGTCAGCCACAATTTCCCATACAATTAGGTTACTTGCAAAGCAGCTCATTAATTGCAATTATAGTTTAGATACAGCATGTCTGACCAGTCTCTCCAGACTATATGAAAGAAGGTTGCATTTGCCTTTGATGTCCAAGTTGCGACAGGTTTTTTGCTTGACCTCGGCGGCCTCTAGCTTTTTCTGTGCATTGTCAATAAGGTGTGTCATCCACACTTAAAACCAGCTGCTGTGAGTGTACCAACGTACCCAGTCCTTCCTCTGCAGCTCTGGCTCCTCCGTGTCTGCATCCCGCAGGGACACTGAAAATCCCTCAGTGTTGCTGCTGCCCTCTGTGAAAGGAGCATAGCTAGAGCCAAGGGCTCAGCCTTTGTAGGGCCAAGCCCGCCAAGCAGGCCAGCCCTGGGGTTGGAAGAACAGAATAGGGTTTTATGTGTGGTCAGTGGAAATAGATCCGAAGCAGTGATGCTTGGGACTGGGTATCTACAAGGTTTCTTGCCAGTCGGTCCCCCACCTTCTAGTCTTACTCAGGAAATAGTCGGAAGGATACAGAACTCAGTGGGAGGATTATCCACGCCCTCCGTCAAGCCTTCTTCTTTTTGGCTCCTAGCCATCTAGCAACTATGCTTGGCTCTGCTCTTTAACTCGCAAGATTTCCCAGCCACGTCAACAGATTCACAGAGATAGGCTTGCATCTGTAGCAGTGGTAAGGTCGTGGTACAGGTGTCTATGTGAAGGGGCTAAGATTATGTTCAGTTGGCCAAAATAGATCTTTGTGTAGTACTTAATCACTCAAATTCACGGGGGATGCTTAGTTTTACAGGGATTGTAAGGAGAAATGTCCCACCTCACAGTGCCTTCCTCTGAGGCTACAGACATTATAGTTCACAGGAAGCGTGCGGTGAGAATCTGTTGCTGTTGGAACCCATCACGAGTTCTTCCTAGCTCCGGTAGCCAGCAGGGGTGTGTGTAACTGAGGTTTAAGGGCACAGCTTTGTGGTCTAGCAGTCTTGTTGCTGGTGTGAGGTTTTGCCTCAGAACAGCTTCTGCTGTTTCCCCGGGGCCAGGTGTGATGTGGGGCTCACGACATCGCCATTTCATCTTCTCACACTTGCTGCTTCCTTCCTGCCCGAGATTTGGACGACTTTCTTTTTTAAAAATTTAACAAAACATTCTCTTCAGAAGTTGGAATAAAATTGATTTTTAGTGAGCGCTTAGGTGGGTACCATTTAACCCACACTTACTGTGGACTCACTCAGTGTCACACAGAGCAGAAACTCCTACTGATGAGGAAACAGAGTCAGGCTGGATGTTTGCTCAGAGACACGGCAGGCAGCCCACAGTCTCTCCAGACTCCAGGGTCTTTGCTCTGACCCACAATGCACTGCTACTCTCACCTCCATGCATTAAAAACCCCGGGCTGCTTCCACTTGACCAATCAGATTGTCCTCGGTGCACATTTGCTTCCATTATAGCAAAGCTGGTAAGTTGATACAGAAGTGGCTTCATTAACTAGCAAGAATTCTAAAGGCAGCCTTACTGAGTTAGAACGTTCAAGTTCTCTGAATGGAAAACTGGGTTAAAAATGCTCTAAATCCTTCAAAAAGCAATACAATCTTTTTCTTTTTTTTAATTACCACTGACTACATTTATAACCACTAAGGTTAAAAATAGAAATACGTTTTGTAGGAAACTGCCAAACTGTCTTTCAAAGCGTCTACGCCGGTTTCCTCTCCCAGCAGCCACCAGCCGCGAATGAGCTGAGCGGTCCTGCTATTTGGTCCTGCTACTCGGTAGCTCTTGCTGTCACTAGGGTTCTGAGTTTCGGCCCTCCTAATAGACACACAGTGGCATCTCATTGTTTTTCATTTGCATTTCCCAGATGAGTATGATGTGGAACATCTTTTGTGTACTTATTTGCATCTGAATGTCTCTTCTCTGGTGAGTTCCTCCAGTCTTAGGCCTATTTTTCGAGCAGTTCTTTGCTTTCAGACTTCCTATTTATTTCTCTCTTTTTTTCTTTCCCTTGTGGGTGTGAGATTGACCTCAGGGCCTCCTGCATATCAAGTAAGTACTCTACCACTGAGCTATGTCCCCGACCCTTGCTTTTTTTCTTGTTTTATTTTAAGAATTTAAGTACAGAAACTTAGAAATAGAGGAGGAAGTTTTTAACTACATTAAGATAGACAAGCACTTTTAAGAGCTATATTGTAGAAATTAAAATTTAGTTTTCCAATTTGTCATTGACTAATAATAGTAAGGAATTGTTCATTGTAGGGAAAAAATAGGACATGACAAATTTTTGATAATTCTACAGCAGGTTTAAGATCTGACTAGGGCTGGGGTGTCGGCCTGATGCTGCTTATGTGTCTGAAACTCACCCTAGGTGATGGGGAGCCAGCAGGGCAGGGTGGTTGAGAATCCAGGTGTTGGGGTTCAGCCCCAGTGCTGTGGTTTATCAGCTGAATGACCTTGGGCAGATTGTTCAGCCTTTGTGGCTTTCAATGTTCCAAATGGAAGGAGTGGAAGGATTCCTTACTGTGATGAACTGAATGTGGACTCCCCACTCCCCTCCACATGCACACGTTTATCTCCTGGAGCCCTAACCCCCAGAGTGGCTGTATTTGGATGTAGAACTTAGAAGTAATGGCCTGATCCCTAGGATTGCTCAGAGAAGGGGACAGTGACCTCTCCCTGAGGAGCACAAAGCATGGACCCCATGAGCCCACAGTGAAAATGTGGGCATCTGATGCCCAACCCTTTGACTACCTTAGTTTTGAACTTCCTGTATCCAGAATTGTGAGAAAGCAGACTGTTGTTGAAGTCACCCATTGTGTGGCATTTTGGTACCAACCTAGTAGGACTGCTCAATCTATACTGCTGTGGGTATGTTTTAAATGTCCCCTAAAGGGCTCATGTGTGGGAAAGTTCCCATTATGGGGTGAAACTCTGGGAGGAGCACTTCAGTGGTGGGAGATCACTGATGTCATGACCATGGAGAGAACACTGAGCCCCTCCCTCCCTCCCTCCCCTCTTCCTCTTCTTTCTCTTCTTCCTCCTCTTTCTTTTTCTCCCTCACTCTCCCCCCTTCCCCTTCTCTCCCCCTTCTCCTGGACACCATGAGTGAATGAGCAGCTTTGCTGTACTAGGCTCTTGCCACAGTGACATTCTGCTTTAGTCCAAGACAAGGGTTCTCAACCTGTGGGTCGTGACCCCTCTGAAGGTTGCATGTCAGATATCCTGCACATCAGATATTTACATTACAACTCATAACAGTAGCAAAATTGCAGTTATGAAGAAGCAATGGAATAATTTTATGGTTGGGGGTCACCACAACATGAGGAACTGTATTAAAGGGTCATAGCATTAGGAAGGTTGAGAAACACTATTCTTAGACCAAAAGCAATAGAGCCAGCCAACCACAGACTAGTATACCTTGGAAAACTGGGCCAAAATAAATCCTCTCATTTTAAATAGATTTTTCTCTGATATTTTGTCACAGTGACTGAACTCTCTCTCTCTCTCTTGTTTTCTCTCTCTCTCTCTCTCTCTCTTTCACACACACACACACGCACATATGCACACACGCACACATGAATAGTTCTAGTCATGTGGTACCAGCACTGAGAAGCTCTATTGAGGTTTTATCTGGCATTTTCAACATCAGACCTATGGACCCATGATTACACAGTATACACACATTAACTGAACACAAGAGAACTGGGTTTTGACAAATTTTTGAGAAACTAATTTTAAATTAGTTAAGTGGGGAGACATTTTTGTAGCACGAATAATAAAAATCCAGAGACAGATATTGGTGTTCAACCTGAAGATCGGAAAAGCAAAGTAGCCAAGCCATTAGAGAGGTCATACCTCTATGGAATCTTCAGACTAAAAGACAGCGAACTCCTGTCTTATCCCACCCTACATTCCTCTCCGGTGCTGAGATTAAAGGCGTGCACCACTGCCTGGCCTGTATGGCTGACTGGTGTGGCTGTTTTGCGTTCTGATCTTCAGGCAAGCTTTATTTATTAAAATACAAATGAAACATCACTCCACATTTTCATTTAAAGTCAAGTCAGTCAGACAGATAAGCACAAACTTGCCAGTCTAATTTAGGGCCAATAGCGCATGACTTACTTCTTTCTTCCATCACTTGTCAAATGTTTGGATTTATGTAAGTTTTTTTTTTAAAAAAGGCATTCTTCTTTCTCACTAATAAAACCCCAAACCAATAACACATACGTTGTAATTTGTCTTGAGGGAAGGAGAAAACAGAACAGGAAATGTCTATACAGATAAAGGAAGCCCATAAAACAGATGGTTCTTGTAACTGTAGGAATTCCCAGCAAAGATGGCATCAAGTTAAATGCCGTTTTCAAAAGAGTAGATGCCAGATAGCATGAATGTTAGTCTTAAACAACTTTAATATGGTCAACATTCAATTTCTCTTAACACATTCAACTTACAGGTATCTGGATCCTCTAATCTTCGGATAATTATTATGAAAATTAATTCAAGGTGAGAAAATAATTTTCTGTAAAGGCCAGGGAACTATGAAAAAACCAAATTCTTTCAATAAAAGTTGAAATCTGTTTTTCATTTCAAAGAATTGCCATACCAGGGGATGCGAAAGAGATTAAGTGCTTGGAGAGAGAGCAGAGGAAACCTAAAGACATAGAGCAAAAGGCAAGGGAAAAAAGCAGGAAAGGAGGAAAAGAGGGATGGAAACAAGGGATCATAAGAAAATTCTAAAAATAAAACAATTCTATAGGTCTTTTCACATTCATGAATAAAATTCCTCTGAGGAGAGAGGTGTGAAGATGTAATTTTATCGCAGGATTTTCACTGCTGAATAATAGTCCAGCTTCCTCCTTCCCTTAGTCTGTAGGTGAGGAAGGCCATGCCAGAACTGGGGGATTCAAGCCCATATGCCATTTGTTGGTCTGAAAGTGACTTATGTGGTGGACATTACCTGTGGCATTCAGAACACACATGTGGGGCATATGGCAGTCTCCTCTTTTCTTCTTCAGGGTCTCCTGAAGAAGAATTCTGTGCTGCAGTATTAAACAAGCAATGTTTAAACTCAGTCAGGGACTGAGGAGATAGTTCAGTCCGAAAGTTCTTGCCCCAGAGCACAAGGACCCGAGTCTGGTCCTCAAACACAAGCAAAAGTCAGGCGCCACACATTCCCCTTCACATGTGGGTCCCAGCTGGGAATCGCTAATTTTGTGTGTTCAATTTGTAATACCTGTAGAAGCAGGAATACAGAAAGAGGTCATGATAGCGATAACTTAGTGGAGGGGGCTAGGAGAATGTAGATAATATGAAAACAGAGAGAGGAGGCTGGGGTGAATTTAAGCAGGGAGGGAATTAGAGGATGGGGGAGTTAAGGGAGCAAGAGGGGATAATAAATAGAGCAGAAAGATGTATGTAGTCATTTGGAAGTATACTTTCTTATAACCCAGTTAAAATATGTAATATAAAAAGAACTTGTAGGAAGATAACTTGCAAGGGTATATATATATATATATATATATATATATATATATATATGTGTGTGTGTGTGTGTGTGTACTGCATCTAGAAGCTATGGATTATTAAACAAAAATCTTTATTACAGGTTTGGGCATCTCCTTATAAGTTGTTGGTCAGGAAGGCCCCTAAGGCCCTCAAATAATATAGGCCCCTGGGAATCCTCTTGGTTGCCCCAAGAGCTAGATGATAAAACCTTATTACTGAAAATAACACATGCCTTAGCCCTAAGACACAAAGAAGTCAAATTGTAACTGAGCTGGAAGTTCCCTTCTTGCTGGCTAGCTTTCATAGTATTGGTGGTGTTATGTGAGCTCACTGAGGAGGAAAGGTAGCTATGGTCTTACTGAGCTGTGGATCCTTTGAACTACAATACCGACCCGCCAAGGGAGAGATGTGCACCCTTGTGTAATAGCAGCAGGGTTGTTACGGGAGTAACCAATCACTCTCTCTGTTCAGTCCACTCCACATGGAAATTCATGCCTCATACTGCAAACTCAGTTAAGTACCCATTATTGGGAATGTCATAGGCCCTAAGTAAAAACTTACTACCATTATTTACCTAAGCTGTCATAGCATCAAATTACTTGGTAAACAGTTACATTTGTACCCACAGAAAAATGCTACCCTCAGCCTATTAGTCTGGCTCCTATTGCTGTGATAAAGACCATGAACAAAAGCAAGTTGGGAAGGACACAGTTTACTTCATCAACTCCAAGGTTACAGTTCATTATTAAAGAAAGTCAGGGCAGGAACTCAATCAGAAACCTGGAAGCAGGAACTGAAGCAGAGACTATGGAAGAATGGACTTTACTAGCTTGTTCTCCATGGCTCACTTAGCTTGGTTTTCTATACAACTCAGAACCACCTGCCCAGGGCTGGCACTATCCACAATGGTCCCTCTCACATCAATAATTAATCAAGAAAATGCCCTACAGGCCAATCTAATGGAGATATTTCCTAAACTCAGGTTCCTTCTTCCAGATGACTCTATCAGAGATGCCTCCTTTTCTATTGCTCAGAGGTAAATTCAGAAGTTCATGGCGGCTCTGGGTGCTGAGAATAAGTTATGGTTGAATGCTTAGCTACAAAGAAGACATTTACACCATTCCCTCTAAGGCTCGAGGATGATTGCAGAAGAGGGGATGGGAAGAAGTTAAGAGCCTGAAAACAGGAGAAAGGCTGTAAGATGCCACCTTTTAGGCAGGATACAGGCACGGCAATCATGTTCCCACAACACCTACAGTTACCCACACTGTACAAGAATGGGTCTGTCAACACTCAAGCTTGGATGGGGAAAGGGCTCCGGCGTGGGGGGGGGGGATGCTGATAGATTCTGGAAGAGGAGAAATCATTGCCGTTACTTATAGACCCATTGTTATCCAATCAAGCTTAAGTGGATAGTTCCAAGCCCTGGTTAAACATGGTGGGTCACAAAACAAAACAAAAAGACATTAATCAGGGGAAGGGATTGATCGGGAAGAGGGGATGCTGATAGGGATGGAAGGGAGGTAAGAGCAGCTGGGGGTGAGAGTGGTCCGAATATCTTAGATGCACATTGTCAAAGAACAGACTTAAATATGTGTGTGTGTGTGTGTGTGTGTGTGTGTGTGTGTGGTGTGTATACATACATATACATACATACATATACACACAACACACATACACACACACACACACACACACACACGTGTGTGTGAAGTTGTATGTGATAATAATCCCAGCACTGGGTGCCAGAGACAGGAGATTCCATGACTCACTGGCCAGGCAGCCTACCTTATTTTCTGAGCCCCAGGTTCTTGTGAAAATTCTGTCTGCCCAAATCAAGATGGATGACACTTGAGGAAGAGCAACCAAGGTTGGTCTCTGGGTTCCTCATATGCATGTATACATGTGTAAACACACTTACACACACATCTACAAGCCCAGCAACACATATATGTGAAAAGTAATTCAATTAGTACTTATTTGTCACGTACTGTATGATAGGCAAGGAGGCAGCAGAGAAAGTGCCAGCCAGTCTGCCTCAGTTAGCACACAGCAACACCCCTTACGTTACTACTTACGGATTACTGTGTACTTCCGAATGTTGTCATATCTTCTGATACATCTTGTTCCCCCAGATCTTTCCACTGGGCGTTATGCTTATGCCAGAAAAGTGGAGTAAATTAAAACAAACAAACAAACAAACAAGATTCTTAGATAATTAGGGAAAAAATAATTTGAAAGGCAGACAATACATGTGCTTATTTAAAAGAGATTTTTCGTCTTACTGACGGTGTCCTTTGCTTTACAGAAGCTTCTCAGTTTCAGGAGGTCCCATTTATTCATTGATTCTCTTATTGTCTGTGCTACTGGGGTTCTACCTAGGAAGTGGTCTCCTGTGCCTGTGTTTTGTAGACTACTTCCCACTTTCTCTTCTATCTGGTTCAAAGTGGTCAGATTAATGTTGAGGTCTTTAATCCATTTGGACTTGATTTTTGTGCATGGTGATAGATATGGATCTACTTTCATTCTTCTACAGGTTGACATCCAGTTATGCCAGCACCATTTGCTAAAGATGCTTTCCTTCGGGGCTGGAGAGATGGCTCAGTGGTTAAGAGCATTGCCGGCTCTTCCAAAGGTCCTGAGTTCAATTCCCAGCAACCACATGGTGGCTCACAACCATCTGTAATAAGGTCTGGTGCCCTCTTCTGCAGGCATACATGCAGACAGAATATTGTATACATAATAAATAAATAAATAAATATTAAAAAAGATGTTTTCCTTCTTCCATTGCATACCTTTAGCCCCCTTGTCGAAAATCAAGTGTTCATAGGTTTGTGGGTTAATATCCGGGTCTTCTATTCGATTCCAGAGGTCGACTTCTCTGTTCTTATGCCAGTACCAAGCTGTTTTCAATACTGTAGCTGTGTAATAGAGTTTGAAGTCAGGGATGGTTATACCTCCAGAAGTTCCTTTATTATATAAGATTATTTTAGCTATCCTGGGTTTTTTGTTTTTCCATATAAAATTAATTATTATTCTCTCAAGGTCTGTGAAGAAGTTTAATGGGATTTTGATGGGGATTACATTGAATCTATAGATTGCTCCTGGTAGAATTGCCATTTTTACTATGTTGATCCTCCCAATCCAAGAGCAAGGGAGATCTTTCCATTTTCTGGTATCCTCTTCAATTTCTTTCTTCAAAGACTTAAAGTTCTTGTCAAATAGGTCTTTCACTTCCTTGGTCAGAGTTATCCCAAGATATTTTATGCTATTTGTGGCTATCGTGAAAGGTGATGTTTCTCTGATTTCCCTCCCTGCTTCTTTATCCTTTGTGTATAGGAGGGCAACTGATTTTTTGGAGTTGATCTTGTATCCTGCCACATTACTAAAGGTGTTTATCAGCTGTAGGAGTTCTTTGGTAGAGTTTTTGGGGTCTTCTGACTGGGAGAAGATCTTCACCAACCCCTCATCAGATAAAGGCCTAATCTCCAAAATATACAAAGAACTCAAGAAACTAGACACTAAAACTCTAATTAACCCAATTAAAAAATGGGGTTCTGATCTGAACAGAGAATTCTCAACAGAAGAACTTCGAATGGCCACAAGACACTTAAGGTCATGCTCAATATCCTTAGCGATCAGGGAACTGCAAATCAAAACAACTATGAGATACCATTTTACACCGGTCAGATTAGCTAAAGTCAAAAACACCAATGATAGCCTATGCTGGAGAGGATGTGGAGAGTGGGGAACTCTCATCCATTGTTGGTGGGAATGCAAACTTGTACAGCCACTGTGGAAATCAGTGTGGCAGTTTCTCAGGAAACTGGGAGTCAACCTCCCTCAAGACCCAGCAATTCCACTCTTGGGAATATACCCAAGAGAGGCCCTATCATACCACAAAAGCATTTGTTCAACTATGTTCATAGCAGCACTATTTGTAATAGCCAGAACCTGGAAACAACCTAGATGCCCCTCAATAGAAGAATGGTTAAAGAAGGCGTGGAACATATACACATTAGAGTTTTACTCAGCGGTAAAAACAATGACATCTTGAATTTTGCATGCAAATGGATGGAAATAGAAAATGCTTTACTGAATGAGGTAAGCCAGACCCAAAAAGAGGAATATGGTATGTATTCACTCATAAGTGGATTCTAGCCATAATTAAAGGTCTTTGAGTCTATTATTCGTGATCCTAGAGAAGCCAAATAAGAAGGTGAACCTGAAGAAAATCATGTAGTTATCCTCCTGGAGATTGGAAATAGACAAGAGTGCCAGAACCTTCATCTGGCGATGGATGGAGATAGAGACAGAGACCCACATTGGAACACTGGACTTAACTCCCTAGGTCCAAACGAGAAGCAGAAGGAAAGAGAACGTGAGCAAAGAAGGCAAGACCAGAGGGAACCTTCATCCGACGATGGATGGCGATACAGACGGAGACCCACATTGGAGCACTGGACTGAGCCCCCCAAGGTCCAAATGAGGAGCAGAAGGAGGAAGAACATGAAAAAGGAAATCAGGACCGCGAGGGGTGCGATCATCCACTGATACAAGGGTACTGATCTAATGAGAGTTCACCATTAGAACCAGGCCAGTTGGACTGGGACTGAACGAGCACGTGATCCAACCAGATTCTCTGAATGTGGCCGGATTCTCTGAATGTGGCTGGCCCGGAGTCTTTCTGAAAAGCCATTGACAATGACACTGGGACTTGTTTCCTCTGCATATACTGGATTTTTGGGATCCAGTCTGTTTGGATACTCACCTTCCTGGACCTGGAGGGAGCGGGGAGGAACTTGAACTTCCCACAGGGCAGGAAACCCTGACTGCTCTTAGGGATGGAGAGGGAGTGGGGGGAGTGGGAGGGTGTTGGGAGGAGGGGTGGAAATGGAAACTTTTATAATTTAATAAACTTTGAAAAAAAAGAAAAAAAAGAGATTTTTCTTAGCCTAACATGGTGAGTGGCTGTGTCAGTTATTGATTTTTGTTTTTATTTATGTATTTATGCACTGGACGGTGGTGGCACATTCCTTTAATCCCAGCACTCGGGAGGCAGAGGCAGGCAGATCTCTGTGAGTTCAAGGCCAACCTGGTCTACAAGAGCTAGTTTCAAGACAGGATTCAAAGCTACCAAGAAACCCTGTCTCGACAAAACCAAAACAAAATAACAAAAAAATGTATTTATGCATGTGACTCATGCGAATGTTTTGCCTGCCTGAATGTAAGTGTACCACATGCACACAGTGCCCATGGTAGCCAGAAGAGGGCATTGTCCTTCCTGGAAATGGAGTTAGAGATGGTTGTGTGTCCCCATGTGGGTACTGGGATCTGAACCTGGGTCTTCTGCAAGAGCAGCAAGCAAGTGCTCTTAGCCATTGAGCCATCTCTCCAGCCCTGTATTAGGTATTTTGGTGTGATAAAAGACCTTGACCGAAAACAACTTACAGAAGGAAAAAGGCTTTTTGGCTTACAGATGCCATAATGGTGGAGGAGACCAGGCAGCAGGAGCTGGAACAGGAAACCGAGACAATGGCACACAGGAAGAGGAGAGGGCGAGCAGGAAGTGGGCAAGGCTATAAACTCTCAAAGCCTGCTCCAGGGCTGCACTCCTGCCAGCAAAGTTCCACCATGTCCCCTAACAGTGCCACCACCTGGGGACCTTTTGCTTAAATACCTGAGCCTGTGGGGATATTTCTCCTGCAAACCACCACAGTAACTTATGCCCGCCACCTTGGGGCTTGATAGGCTGAGGCAAGATGCTCAGGAATTCAAGGTCATCCTTGGATATATATTTGCTTTGAGCTAGCCTAGGTTATATGATAAGACCCTATCTTAAAAGTCTTTTTCTACATATCATTGTCTTACTTACTTTCCTATTGCTGTGGCAAGACGCTGTAACCAAGGCAATATCCCAAAGAAAGCATTCAATTCAGGACTTGCTTTCAGCTTCAGGGTGTGAATCCATAACCATCAAGGCAGTAAATCTGGCAGCAGGCAGGCAGACATGGTCCAGAGCAGTAGCTGAGAGCTTACAAGGTTGAAAGGAGCGGGCGGGGCAGAGACAGAGTGACAGAGACAGAGACTGGGCCTGACATGGACTTTTTAAACCTCAAAGCCCACCCCCAGTGACATACCTCCTCCCACAAGGCCATGCCTCCTAATTCCCCCAAAACAGTTCCACCAAGGACCAAGCATTTAAACAAATGAGTCTATGGTGACATTCTCATTTAAACTACCACAAACAATAAACATTATTTCATTTTACCATAGCCTCGTGTAAGTCAAAATGAAACAACTTTCCAGAACAGAATAGCTTATAACACATATAACCTCTGCGGCTTTTGAGCTAGGCCTGTACTACTGCTGGGTGTGCTAATTCTCTGGGTTTCAGCAATGACAGCCTCTCACTCTTGCACTTCAGAGGGGAATATACCCAGGCCTAATTGACAGGCTGGACCATCATGTTCCATCCTGTAGGTTCAGGAGCAGGCTACAAATGTGTGTGCTTGCCAGATATCTGGTTACCCAAGTGTCTGCTCCATTCCTGAACCTTTACCATGATTCCTGGGTAATGGCTCACACACCTAAGTCCTGTTGCTGCTCTTACCAGCAGGGCGCTACCTATTTGTCCCCAAACCAGTTATAATCATTTCCTCCTCACTACACCCCCATTTGGGACTCCATTTACAATCGGTGGCAATCCTTGGCTAGAGATTTATGAGGAGATTCTTGTGACTTGATCTTGGTCAATAAAAAACAATTTCCTTAGGTGGGGGGTTGGGAAGCTAGTTCCATTGGTGGAGTGCTTTCTGCAGGAGTGTGGAAACCTGAGTTGGACCCCTGGCCCCTGTAACAAGGCTGAGTCACACCAGACCGACTGACCAAATCAGTCAACTCCATGTTTAGTGAGAGAATGTCTCAAAAACTCAGCAGGATCTCTGTAAGTTTCAGGCCAGCGAGGGCTGCACAGTGTGACCCCGTCTCAAAAAACGAACAGCAAGCAAAACATCGCAGCATGGGAAGGAGAGTGACGGGAAGACTTGCAAGTGTTTCCTGCTGCTAAAATGAGACTCATGATACTGCTCACCACTACACAGGGAACACGATGCGAGAGCTGCTGCATTGCTGAGCTCTCTTGCTGAAAAATTGGTGTTCTGAGGAAGGCAAGGAGTCTGTCCTCAGTCATGAGTGCTGAGCCATGAGCCTGTCTATCATCCTCACACCTTCTTTTATCTATATAGCATGTTTTCCTACTGCTTACCCTTAAACCAGCAAAATTGTCATACTGGAAGGCCCGATAGACCTGCCTCTGTCTGTGTAATGGAAGCCAAAGAATCTGAGTTGGTGGTCCTGTGTGGGCTTTGACCGACTGCTCTAATTACAGAAGGAAGAAAGCGGCATAGTAATAAAAGCACAGGATGGACACATTTGCCTGCTTTTATTTAGGATTTTTATTTTGAGATAATCACGGCTTTACATGCAGGTGTAGAAGGGAAGACAGAGAGATCCCATGTAGCGTCACCCACTTTCCCACAGTGCTGACATCCGGCAGCTGAGGCACAGCACCCTTGGAGCTTACCG